GGCCTTCTGGCAAAGCCAGGATTTAACCCCTTTTCTGAAGGCCATGAGGGAGGGGGCACACAGGACCTCGGGAGGCAAGATGTTCCATAGGGCGGGAGCCTATGTTTAATTGCATCCGTGTTTTCTTCAGAAACATCTTAATCTTTTCAGATATATTTTCTAAATGAAGATTTTATTTTTGTATGGATTATAGTATTTACTATTTATTTAAAATAATTTCTAGAAAATAATTGATAAAATATCTATCACTTCATTTAAATATTTAATGAACACTTAAATACCAACATTTTCTATATTTAGAAATACATTTAATAAGTGTGTCTTATTTACAAAATTGCACGGAAAATAATAAATAATAACATTGACAAGAAGAAAGATATCATGTCCTGAATTAAATAGCAAACCGAAAACTGGGTAGGATAACTAATGCCTATTATTTTTATTTTAGGCAAACTGAAATGACAAGGTGATCTGAACTGTGACATCAACAACACACACAGACACACTGAAACTCACCTCATCTGAAGAGAAGGTTAAAGTGTGTGAACGCCCTGAAAGATTAGGCTCTGTCACTAACCCTGACAGATCACAACTTGGCTTGCTATGATATGAATCATCTATGACAATTCTACTCTGCAAACAAGTGAAAATAATGTTTTGTTAACTTATCCCTTGGAATAAATCACAAGGAGACAAAGTAACTTTTAAAAAAAGTAAAAATAAAAAAGAACCTACTGTATTTAACAATGGCATTAAGCTATATATCTATATCTATATCTACAATGACATTCACCATTTGTACAATCATTTATACTATTATCTCCCAACTTACAATATATAAATATTGAGTTTTTATCAGCTGGAGTGGAGAAATTCTTTTAGGAGTACAGAGTTAGTGGCAAAGTTATTCCTTGAGGCCAGTGTTCGTCTTAGATATGAACTTTTAAATGTCAATTGAAAACAGAGATTCCACCACAGCATTGGCTACTGGCCATTTCCAGTTATGCAAAGGAGAAGCAATTCTGTCGGTTGCCCCTTCCTGCTGCAGCCTTTTCATTTTGGAGTTTCTGTCCAATCCTCAGAAATGTATTTTTACTGGGTTGATAAGAAGAAGTGTACAAATGGGCAAAGAAATCCTTTCTCCTGAAAATGGTATTAAGATCTAAGTACTTTGCTTAAGTCTCATGGGAAATGTGTTTTTGGATTTCTCCCTTCACAACCATATGGCTGTAGAGATACATTTCAAAACAGTTTGGATTACAAATCTGAGTATCAGTTTATTTAGCCAGAATGGTCATCCAAAATAATAAAATAAAATGCATAATTCAAGTTTTCTGTAGGAAAATTAAATATATCCTTATAAATGGGTAATTTGTATGTTTATTATTATTAAATATATAAGCATTTGATTCTATTGTAAGTCTGGGTGGCATATGATACGTTTAAAATAATTCAACTCAGATAATGGAAATGTCTGGAAAAAACAACAATGAAATCTCACAAATCAAACATCCCACAGGGATCCATCACCCACTTTAGCCCAAGGTCTGGGGGAAGAGCCAGGTTTTAAGGACTTGTTTAAATAAGGTCAGAGTGGGGGCCATATAAATCTCGGGGGGGGGGGATATTGTTTCAGACAGCAAGTGCTATGAGAGAGAAGGCCTGCTTCCTACATCCCATCAGGTGATACTGTTTAATTGATGGGACTTGGGGCATGCCCACTCTCCTGAATCATATAGGATGGGAAGAAATAATAGAAGATAGGCAGATAACTAAACCCTATGCCAGCCTTTATAGGTGATAACTAGCACTCTGAACATCACCCGGAAGCTTACTAGCAACCAGTGCAGCTCAAGAAGCAGTGGTGTTATATGGGCATACCATGACATGCCTATCACTGCCCATGTCACTGCATTCTGAACCAGCTGCAGTGAGTGGTCTTCAGGAGCAGCTCATGTACAGCACACTGCAGTAATCCAAACGTGAGATGACCAAAGCATGGGTGAATGTCTTACAGGCCTCCTAGTCCAGATATGAGCACTAGAAGAATTTGTGTGAAGGCCATCTTAGCCACAGCTGCCACCTGCTCTTTGAGTAGCAGCTATGAGTCCAAGAATTCTCACATGTATGTACTAGTCCTGAAGAGGAAGTGCAACCCCTTTCAGGATTAAAGAGAGAATATTTCCAGATCTAGGTGGTCCAAATAACCATAGCTACTCAGTTTTGCCAGGGTTAAGCTGAAGTTTGTTCCTCCCCATATAGATCCTCACAAACCAGACACTGGGACAAGATCTTGACATCATCTGGTCAGCCAGGGATTGATACGTACAACTGGATAACTTGAGAGAGGAAATGAAATGATAAGAAATAAGGAAGGATAACTACTTTGATCCTAATTATGCCTGTTAAAAACAAGTTAAAAATCTAAGTACATACTTGTGTACTAAGTGCAAAGTGCTTAGATTATATTTATTTTTATGCCCATATCCTGCCTTTCTGCCAAAAACAAACTTTTTGGCCCAATTTGAAATACATTTACCTACTTATTTTCTCACTGTTCCAGTGAAATAATATGTGGAAAAGAAGTAAATATTAATTCCAAATGTGTATCATAGCTACCACGAGGTGAAAAATATGCATCTGTTTAGCTACCTAATATTTCATAGCCCAGAAACACTGAACCTCTTTAAAACTTTTAAGTCACTAAACATTACATGTTAGTACAACTCATTTAGTATTTATTATTTTGGCTGTGTTACAAACAAATACTGTTCAAGATTAATGTTCAGAATTACCAAGGGAACAGGTAGCTTAACTGAAATAAGACTGCCTTATTTATACTTGTATTGAAATCTCAATGAGTGGGGAGTTGAAGAGCAATGAGCAGAGTTGATTAGGCACACACTCTTTAAAGCTGCTTATATTTTCCTTGTAGAGGTCCACCTTTTACATCAAGAAATATAGCATGAGAAATACGTGAAATAATGAATTTTACTCAGTGGACTTAACAACATAAAAAAGAGTATAACTAGTTTTAACAGCAGCTAGCACAATGAAACCATAATAGATTGTGAACCACTTGTTTAGTAACTTGCAAAAAGCATTTGTGCAATAGCTTACTTGTGCAACATGGGATTCAACATTTATATAACAATCAAAGTGGTGTTTCTACAAAGTATTATTACTTTGTGCTAGCTAAATGATATGATTCAATCAACTTATATTTCATATTTCTTGCATTAATATATTTAACGTGGTACAAATATGAACTAATTTGGATGAAAAAAGGGAGTTGCCAGCCAGGCACTACAATGGGGGTATGATATCTGGGGAAGGGGATCAAACAAACAACAGTTTGTTTTGCATCTCACAAGACTCTTACACATAGTTAGCCATGAATGTATACACTGCACTAATGGACCCACAGAATGGTCAGTCTGGATCCAACCCATTATTGTTTCACTGATGGATTACAAACTGCATTGGCTAAGTTCATACAACATGCTAAGTCAAACAAACACTACATTATGGTTTAGCTAAACTTTAGGATGATATGTGAATCTAACCAGAGAGCCACTTTTCTGATTGATTCACTCTATTTTGCCAGCTGACAAGCCATAAAATACAAGTTTTCCTGAGTGAAAGGAAACTGTTCAGCCATTTATAAGCAGGCATAAATGGGTTAAAATTCTGTTGGCAAATATTCTGCAAGCTTCCAAGAATAAGAAAAGATCTGTCAAAGAAAAGACAGACAAAATGAAGAAAGCATGGCTTGAAATACACACCCAAGATTAGCAAGAAACTGAAATAACAAATGAAACTATAAAAGAAAACCAAGCTATAGAAAGATTCACCAACTAAATTTGACATTAACATTATCACAAAGGATGCAGAATGCAAGCCTATAAACATTCTATTGGATATAAAACAAAACACCAGACTAGATGATGACATAATTAGACTTAGTTTTGGAATAATTACTTCCTGCAGTCACCAAAAAAAAAAAGATGCAGCTTTTAATAGCTTTAGCTATTTCTTATGTAACTAAATATCAATTCTTGATTTATACAAAGTGATATGCAAGAGCCCCTCTCAATGATACACATTTCAGCTAATTTAACTTAACCTATTTTTATTATAGAAGAATCCCACTGTCTTCCATGTGTCACTGTTTAAGGATTATTAAGAGTTTAGAGGAAAAAATTACCCTACCAAATATACTGAACAAGTTTATTATTTTCAATATGTTGGTTGTATCTTAACTGAGAAAGTTGAAGGAAGTATTGATATAAATTGCTTCAGAATTATATAGTGGGTCACTGGTATCAAACAGCACATTGTTTACTAAGATTAATTAATATTGATTAAATTACTGCAGCAGGCAAGAAATGAGGCCACATAGATCAGGTTTCTGAACCAGTATTTTAGCAGTTCTGTTAAATGAGAAGCAGGGAGTTTAATAGTAATAAGTGTTTGTTTTAACAACAAAAATAAAGAAAAGCACAGACTTATGTATTTTACATTTCATACTGTCTTTTTTAAATATCTTGACAGCCATCTTGCGAGGTCTTCTATCCATCACTTACTCATTGAGATTTCCCAACTAGAAACATGTTAATTTTAGGAATGTTAATATTAGTAATTTTTGGTGTACTTGTGGTTGGTTGTTTTGACTGTGGTACAATTATCCATATCTTTAAATGTTTGGAAAAAATGGTCAGAAGCAATGTGTCTACATTTAAAAATTTTTTTAAAGAAGCTGGGGGAAAGCTTTTTTACATTATTGTGTAGCATGTAAAAAGACTACCTTTTATAAACAATATGAAAGGACTTCTGTATGCAGAAAGATTTTGATCTAGCAAAACATTTCTCCTGATGGAACAGAGTTCACCGATTCTCTCTCTCTCTGTGTCCTTTAAACCTCTGCCCTGAGGATGGGATGGTTCTTTAAAGACAGAGGATTTGACCGAAGAGAAAGAGAAAGAGAAAGGGCTCTCTTTCCCATGACCTGAATTACTCCAAATGAAGTACTGCCTTGTCAGGAGCAAGCCCAGAAGCCAATTCTATATATATATTTCAGGAGTTCTTTCTTGACTGTAGTACGGAAGCTAAATTTAACTAGCATTTCACATTATACTGAAATTTCACCCATTAAGAGAGGTCTCTGTTGTTCACATATAAACCTCCCTAGAAATGTTGATAATATGTAGAGTGATGGATAACTGACTAAAGTGTAAACTACCAAAATCCGTCTTCCCAGATTGTACACAAGACAACTCTAGAAAAATCCAAGCGACTTAACTTCTGAGGAAGTCAACAAATCTAAATGTGTAAAATATATACAGACAGACTACATTTACCTTGTTTCTGGTCTTCTCTTGACTTAGTTCAATGGCAATATCCTGCCCACCTTGAGAAAAACTCAGGGTGCTACTAGAGCTATGTTCTTTATGGCTGTCTCCAAACCAAGAGAAAGGCATACAAGTAGGAATAGGGGAATCGGAATCTGAGGCAGACAAATTGTTGTCAGGGTCTTCCAATAATTCTCTGGAACCCCTGAAATATTATTTCCATAAAACAATATGTCAACATCTGTTGTACATGCAAATCAAGCTATTTTATGTATTTGTAATAATTCCTATTTTAACATTCAATATAACATTTTATAACATGGAACTTAAATAATTTAATAATCTTTGAGTAAGCTTGGCTTACTATTTTTAAAACATTTTAAAAATAGTTCTGTTACTAAGGGATTTTTGTCTTGTTCTTGCAAACAGAAAAGAACTGCCAGCCTTGAAAACCTTTTAACAGTAACTCTGGAGGGGGCATATGGAAAATGTATATAAAGGAAAAAAAGATCTCTGAATACATTACGCTTTTCTTTTTTTAGGAAAGGTTATGCAAAATTGGGTATAGAAATAGGCTTTCAAGTGTTACATTTTCAGTATGGAAAAAAAAAAAGACCTCACAATTTAACCCATGTAATTCCCTGATGATCTCACTATTAGCTTGTCTTTTATTTTATGAAAAAGGATAGGGTTAAAGTGCTTCAAAGTTAACTGAAAATGGACTCAGGAATCTAAAACAATTTTATAAAGCTATCTCCAAATCAAAAGCAGTAATACACATCTTGTTAAGATATAATTTAAATTGGCTGTAATGGGCACAAATGAATTCTTTGTACAATGTCCTGAAGTTAAAATCCAACCTCTTCAAACCTTAACACATTTTTGAGCAAACAGTAAACTGTTACTTAAGAGTACCCCAGGATACTACAGCAAAATGATTTGGCCTGCTGCTAGACTTTGAAGGAGACCATAAAGAAGGCTTGAAGATAGTACATAACAAGGATATGGGGACTAATAGTTCTGTAAAAATATAAGAACTGGTCCTTAAAATACTTTATAGAGGCACCTCACCCCAATCATACTTTCTCACATGGCTCATAGTTATTAAATGCTGTTGGAGAGGATGTAAAGAAAATGGAACATTTATAGTGATCTAGCAATACAATACATTTCATCAAGGGCATTATACTGTAGACATAGGATTAATAACCAAACAACATATAAAGCAAACTGCACTGCAACTTGGACTTTTAAATATAGATTTTAAAAAGGAAATTTTAAATGTATGCAATATGGAAGCAGAACGTTTGCCCTCTTTTTATTAAATCACTTCCAATGAAGTACAAGAAAAGAAATTCATTGAAGCTTTGGTACAGTAAGTGTTTGGACTCTAGACTTTATGGAGAAGATAACATACAATTTATAAAACTATGAGAAATACAACATGGAAAGAATCTATTTTATGTAAATTGATATAATGTTTGCATTTGAACATTTCTTTTCCTGAAGGCTGAAATTAATGTCTCTCAACAATGTATGCAATACTGAACTGTGAATTATAGGTATTTATTCAGAACAACATTCTAGTTCCAAAACAATACTTCAACTTGGAATGTATCAATAAGAATATAATATGCATTTATAAATACCTGCTGTCCAGAGAACTCCTTACATTTTCTTTTTCTTGCTTTTTGCCTTTACCACCTGATTTTCTTAGGCCCCTGAAATTATAGTGAACCAATGATTTAAGCACTTCATAAATCTTAAGCTGCAATCCTATATATGCTTATCTAGAAGATATATTTATTAAATAAGGCATACAACTGAACAGACATGTATAGGATTGAGATATTCCAAGATGTTCATATCATAATCCAAAATATAGCAGTTATCACTCCATTCTGATAAACACATAAATCACTTATAGATCCAAATATTTCACAGTAGAATCTATGCTACACTGTATACTCTTATGAAAATATATTTGCTGAAGAAAACAAAAATGATACATTATAACATAAATTAGTAAATACGTGTTCTATAATGCAAACAGAAATGTATTCCTGGCTGCCCACAGATTGAGGCCTCATCCAATCCTCGGACATTCCAAAATTCTAGCCCACATGTGACTTGATTTGCTCATGCTGGAATGCTGAATGCTATTATGACCCAGAGTTCCTATCACATATATACCAGAGGTGGTTCTGTGCACTTTTCAACATGTATAACACAGTTATCTTAAATTGTCTTTTACCTCTAACAGCAATTTGCTATATAATGAAAAACTGATGGCTATCTTTCTAGATTTCTGGCTGCTTCATACACATTATATGCAAAGACCTAGCTCTAGAGAAGGTGCTAACGCTGGGAAAGAGGGAAGGAAAGAGAAGAAGAGGACAACCAGCAGCAATGTGTTGTTGTTTAGTCGTTAAGTGGTGTCCGACTCTTCGTGACCCCATGAACCATATTGCGCCAGGCCTTCCGGTCCTTCACTGCCTCCCTGAGTTTGCTCAGTTTC